CTACCCCTGAGAGAGACCATGCTCGTGGGGTAAGTACTTTCAGGGCAGGGCATGAAGCCCCTGCAGTGCTGAATGTTTGGCTCGCAGAGAATCATGATTAAACAACTTGAAATGTTCTCTTACTGATCATATCACTAAAACATGTCAATGCACCATCTCTCCCTCACCCAATCTCACCTGGGTACCCCCCACACACACACACACACACACACACACACACACACACACACACACACACACACACACACACACACACACACACACACACATACACACACACACACACACATACACACACACACACACAAACACACACACACCCACCCAGGTACACACTGTTATGTGCGACCCTTGTTCTCTCCCTCTCTGCTTTTCTGGTCTCCCTCCTCCCTCCTCTGTCTACCTGTTCCCTGCTCAGAGTGTGGAGGAGGGGGATTTAGAGGATGTGCAGGCGCAGGCACGGTGAAGATCGTTCATTTATCCTTAAATTGTTTCCTGTTCCAGGTTTGTTTTGGTTTTTCCCTCATGCATGTTCAGATTGCTGGTTTTGCAATTTTAGTTTGGGCTGGAGAGACTGGTAGTCCTATTTTCGATTCCTTCATTTTCTGTAGATAAGTTGTTGGTCGGTAGTTTAGGGGGAGGTGGCACTTTCCCGTCTTTTACTCTGTTTAGCTGGATCTCCAGTCCTTTTTGTTTGTTTGTTTATTAAATGAGATTATTTCCTTGATACATTGTGTGGCCCTTCTTTAATGTTTAATGTTTTGGTCTCCTCCTTCTGAGTCATTCTTGGTTAACTTTATGGTATGTTAGGGAGGCCTTAACACATGTCGCCTCTCTGCACAAATGTAAATATTCACCAAGAAATGCTGTTTATTTTGAAGGCATGCTTCTGTTGAATTATAAATTACCATATGGGGAGGTCGTTGTGTGAACTGAGGGCCGAGAAGGAGAGAGAAAAGGAGGAGAAGAAGCCAAGAGGAGGAGAGGGAGGGAGGGAGGGAGGGAGGAGATAGAAGCAGACAGATGCCTGTAATGAGGAAACACTGTGGCGCCGTGCCTCAACCCAAAAACTGTCAGAAGTAATCACGCTGGATGAATGGAGGGATGGAGAGGGCGAGGAGGAAGTGTTAGAAAAACTGAACAATGAGGCATGAGCAGAGAGAAGAGACGAAGAGGAGGAGGAGAGATAAAGTTCAAATGAGGAGCAACAAGGTGAGACATGTGTGGAAGGATTTGGGAGAAAGGAAAGAAGAAGGGAGGGGGGGGGAGAGTGAAAGTGTAAAAATGGAAGTAAACACGATAAAAAGGAGGAGAGACGAGAGGACAGGAGGCTGCTGGATTAACATTTATTCAGAGTGCTGAAGGGATTCAAACATGGCGTCCACCGTTTGTGTTTGGCAGATGGCCGGAAGAGGAGCGTGTTAACACTTCAACTCCAATCAGCCCTCTCCAAACTGCAGCACAGAGCGAGCAAGCGAGAAAGAGAGAGAGAGAGAGAGAGAGAGAGAGGGGGCGGGGAGGGATAGTAAACTATGTGTTGTGTGTGTTTGTTAAAAAGAGAACGATGTGATGGAGGGGTTACCAAAAAGTCCTCGCAAAGATAGCGAGATGCTAACAGCAGCATCTGAGGGGATTCTCGCGGGCAGAGCTCGGCGGCTGGTTTAAGTCGCACAAAAGCCCGGGACACACATTTAGCTCCTTCGCTGAGATCTGCCGAGCATGGGCGAGAGCGACGTGATGACTCTCCGAGAGACGAGATCAGACTTAAAGGACCAAAACATGGATCACATTTGAACCTGTGACACGTCGACATGCTGCTGCTGTCTCTGTCTCTCCGCTCTCAAACTCAAAAGACTTTTTAGGATGTAAAGAAACGGCAAACTGTGTCACCTTTAAAGCTGGCACAATTCAACAGCAACAAAAGCAGAAGTCCCAGGCCTCCAATATTGTGTCACTTGTGTTTCTAATGGCCAAACATTTCATGCAAAAGCATCTATTCGCTCGGCCACATTGGCAACATTTATTCACTTTAGAGGAGTTTTGCGTCCACGTTTTGATGTGGCTCCTTCTTTCTTAAGGTTGTATATTCTACAATGTGCTGTGTCAAAAGAAGATTGTGATGAGCTTAATTTGAGTCTTTTAATGGGTCTCTTGTGTAACAGCCTGTCCTGACAGCGACAAAATCAGCCAGCGACAAAATCAGCCTGATTCGACTGTTTCCCTCACTGTCCACGAGCAGGCAGCGCGGTGTGGCACAACATTTTCACCCCGACGCCCGGTTTCTATTTTCCTTTCTGACGCTCGCTTAGACGGATGAGCGACGAGGAAGGAGGGCGTTTGTAGGGACTCGCTTTTCTCCCTCAGCAGAGCTCGTTGGCTTGTTGTACAAAGGTGTGTAGCGGTGCATTAATAATATCCACATCTGGGATTGAAATGTTGACCTTTGACCTGTTTCGACACCGGAGAAATACGCTTTTTTTTCAGCTCACCACAAGCCGTTTATCGACGAGCCTCTGAGTTGTGACTTTAGTCGAGAGCTCGTTAATACAAGGCACCACACCTCTGTTTGTCCACCTTCAAAATAAAAGCACAACACATCAGTTTTTCCACCTTCAAAATAAAAGCACCACACATCAGATTGTCCACCTTCAAAATAAAAGCACCACACATCAGATTGTCCACCTTCAAAATAAAAGCACCACACTTCAGTTTGTCCACCTTTAAAGTAAAAGCGCCACACTTCAGTTTGTCCACCTTCAAAATAAAAGCACAACATGATGTCATAATGCTTGCAACTGAAATTCACAGAGCAAAGAATTAAATGTTTTACGGATGCTGTGTGGACAGCCAGCGTGCGATCATGAGCGATGTGACGCGATATTTAACCATGCCGTGCTGTTAGGACTCTGTGTATTGGAGGTGGTCATGGGAGAGGCCCAGAAATGTTGTCAAGGCTCCTGCTAATATGTGTAAAAGTAACAGTTTTTTGTTGAATGCTTATAATACTTTAACTCTCAATGAAGTTGAATAATCTGAAGACTATTAATGACGAGGTGGTGGATGTGAACATTTGAGCTTCGAGCGAGGGAACAGAGCTCCGCAGAGAGCGTGAGGCAGGATCAGATATAGTGTTGAGACAGGAGGAAAATCCATTTCTTCCCAAAGGGGAATAAAAGTTCAACACAAGAAGAAGAAGAAAGAAGGCAGATATTTAAAGTGTGAGCTGCAGCGGTCGCCTGCCCGTCTCTGCACATTTCCTCCTCCTAATAAAGACAGCGCACAGACTTGTTTCCCCCCGGGGAGCCCTTTTAAACATTTTCTCAAGAAAATGAGCCTTTGTACAATCACAGTGAGCAAGATGGACAGTTTCCATTACCAGGCTCTTGTAATTAAAGGATTTGTACTAATAGCAAATTTATCATAATTCCTGTTGGCTATCAAATCCTTGACAGGCTATTTCATTCCAGCCAGTGTTTCATTTAAAAGCCTTCAGGTTAGTGCAGTGTCTCCGCTCTGACATCTAAACCCTCATAATGAGACGTGCGCACACACGGCTCTCTGCCTGCACACACACACACAGGAATTTTTTTTAATGCAAACTAATGCAATCTTCTGGGTCACACTGGTCATGGGTGTGCATGCGGGTCTAATGGGAAGACAGACAGAAACCAGTCCACAACAATTCATGCAAACATTGTTCAAGAGGCCTCACACACAAACACACACACACTAACACACACGCTCATCCAGAAAACATCAAATCCAACAGACTTCATTAGTGCTCACAAATCACGGCAAACACTTGACATATTCGACAGCACCACATTCACATGCTAATTCTCACTCTAATGGGCGACACACACACACACACACACACACACACACACACACTCAAACACACGCACACAAACACACACTGCTACATGCAGTCACTCTGCACATCATTACTGCAGCCTGTCTTTGCTCCATTTTGACAAAAGTCTCTGTGAATAAAGAAGGCGCTGCAGGCTTTGATCATCAGGCAGGAGAGGAGTCAAATCGCTCTGAGAAGTTTTTTTTTTTCTGCAGCACTTTCATGAATCAGACATTCAGAACTTTAAACGAGACTACACATACAAATTATTTAGATTCTGAAAGACGCTTCATCTTTTTTAGGTATGCCTATGTGCCCGTTGTTGTGCTTTGACTGAATATCTGTCACAGAAGTTAGGCGTCAAGTGTTCAACATTTACCGGTTCCGACTGACTTATCAACGAGAACCTGGTTCTGCAGGCATCTGGCTCCCAGCGGGGGGGGGTTACAGGGGTCCTACAGTGGGACACACCAAGAGCAGGGGGGAGTCAGTGGGTGACTCGCTGAAGGACACTGGTGCAGATGGTTGCCAGCACAGAGATTAGGACCTGTGTCCTCCAGCTGAAGGACAGTTTGGTACTTCTGCTTCAATGGGTTTCATTCCCCAAATAAAGAGTTTTCTAAATGTGTCTCTCTCCACCCCAGACTTTGGAACAGCCTGCCAGAGGAGACCAGACCGGCAGAATCAGTCCCTCGTTTTCTTTTCTTTCATTCTTAAATTGCTTTCAATGCTTGCTTGTTTTTATTGCACACTGTGAAGCACTTTTTCACCTGTACTGAAAAGGATAAACAAATAAAGTATTATTAATATCATTATTATCCAAACTGCCTGAGAAGTGGTGAATATTTACATATGGAACGAGTCAGGTACAGGAGGAAAGCACCCAAACCCTGAAATCAAGACGAACCTTTGGGGTTGTATTTTTTGAACCAATAACAGATTTCACCTTTTCTTGGGGTTTGCCATATCTCCATCATGCAAATAAAATAATCTCAAACTTGCAGAGATAAATATCTGGATCTATAAACCACACAGAACCAACCCAGAGTGAACCGAAGCAAACGCCACGCGGCGATGAATGAAGTCACTTTCAGCACAGACTCAAACTTCCACAGCGGTTACTTCTCCATCACATTGCAGTACTCACAAGCGATGATGTTGCCATAGCGATTCTTGTTGCGGTTCTCGTCTTTCTTGGCCGTTTCCCAAGGTGCCGTTTGTCCCTCCGCCAGGGCCTGAACACACACACACACACACACACACACACACACACACACACACACACACACACAGATTCAGATTATTGAGGTTCAAAGACAGAAATATGCATGCACATATGGCCCGATGCCCAGAGCTTGTACGCTGACACATGGGGTGGGCAGAAGTTAAAACAGCTTCATGAATATTAATGTAAAAGACAATCGACTGATAGTTTGCAGCAGAGCGTACTCTTTACCACTCAGGGCGCTCCGAGCATCACGACTGGAACATTACAGGACCCTGAGCCTTCAGGAGACGGGGGGAGCTTTCAGGCAGGTTACACGACTCAACTTCAATATCACTAAATGCATATCCCTGCTGGGAAGGGGGAGGGGCCTGAGTCCACTAACAGCGCCAGTTTTCATGACTAAATCAATGCAGTTCAGCTTTATATCACTGCAATAGGAGTGGCATTGGCCCCAGGACATAACTGTATTTATTTTCTTCCCATTTAGCGTATCTGATTGATTCACTAAATTAGCATTTTTATTTATCTATACTTTTTTCTTGTTTACAACCTATATGCAAACATTTAATGTCGTTTCATTTGGTTGATTGTTTCACTTCCTGTTTCTTCTTTCCTATTTTTTCTCCTTTTGTGCATTTTTCTTCCATTTCTGGTCAGACAACTGAAGATAGACAGGAAATCCTGGGAAGAGAGTCGGGTAGACATGCTCAGGACTCAAATCTATCACCTAACGACCGAGTTAAATCCGGACTCCTGTTTCCTTGTTGTATCTTTAGTTTTGCTATTTATCGACTGACTCGGGGCCTGAATCAAAAAAAGGAATTAGTGGCTTTTGCGCCCACTAGACCTGTATGCAAATGAGTCAAAAAGACACACTGTCGGTTTCACTAAACATACCAAGGGTTAGACACACCCCCTCGGTCAGATCATCCACCAACACAGTCCAGATCTCCACTCCTATGCCGATGACACACGGCTCTACTTCAGCATCAAAGCATCGCACTCTCTACTCAACTGCCTGAAAAACGTCCAAACCAGGATGTCAAACAATTTCCTCTCAACAATTCAACTGAGCTCATGGTTGTGGCCCCAAGGTGCTGCTTAGGAAGGTTGGAGATATCTTTCTGTGCTGCAACTGCCTGTCAACTGAGGTCCACAACCTGGGCGTCATCCTGGACTCAACCCTCTCATTCCACTCCTTACATTAAACTGCCTTTTTTTTATCTAATAAACATCTCTAAACTCATTTTGTGTCGACGTCAGAAAATCCTTAGCACTATAGTATTTGCTTTGTGAATTAGACCATGAGACGGAGCAAATAGCTAGTCGTTAGTTTCCCAAGTTAAATTTCACCAAGAAGTACATAAAAGACACATTTCAGCCAACTTGAATGTCCGACATTTTTGACCTACTGGCCAGCCCCTGAACACAGCACGGACGTTTAGTCTACAAATATCCCAATGGCAGAATTCCCAGATCCACCAATCCCATCGGGGGTCAGTTTATCGTTTTGGCCGTCAGGTAAATGTTTGCCAGATTTCAGCCGACTCTGGGATACTCTTTTGATCCCCAGACCAAATTTAACCCCCGTCCAACTTTATTGGCAGGAGGTTATGCGCTCCCACAGGGATTTCCAGGATGTCTAAAGCTAAAAAAAAGAGAAAAACAAACAGGTAACCACCCGAGGAAGAGAGAATAGAAAGAAAAAGTTTGGGTTTGTTTTTCTGTTGGTTTGCTCTGAAAGAGAATATTTGGTCAGTTGGAGGAGAGGAGACAGATTGTCCCACCACCCTGCTGTGATGCTGGCCCGTGTGACGAGCCGTACACACATGGCAAGGACGAAGTTAATGTGTGTGTGTTTGTGTGTGTGTGTGTGTGTGTGTGTGTGTGTGTGTGTGTTTGAGTTCATGCATCTGACAAACTAGCCTAAAAAAACATTTACATCTATATGTGCTTTACTATGGCATCCATACACTTTATGTGCATGTCCCATATGTTCAAAATAAGTGTGAGTCTGTGTGTGTGCGTGTGCGTGTGCGTGTGTGTGTGTGTGAACAGCTTCTGCAAGCTACAAACCCCAACTCACAAAGGTCGCCATATGGACCCTGAACTAGTTTAGAACAACCATTATAACACACTGGAAGAGGTCACACACACACATACACACACACACACACACACACACACACACACACACACACAAACACACACACACACGTACAGTCTTTCTCCCTATAGAGACGAGCGAAGTCCTTCTTTGAGTCCATTAAGGGATTACGAAGACCAGACAACAGCTTTCACTTTCAGACAGTGATATGACCTACATACACACACACACACACACACATACACACACACACACACACACACTCACACACACACACACACACACACACACACACACACACACACACACACACACACACACACACATTGCACACACAAGGAAATACACACACACATACTCAAACATACTTGGTACAAATGTGCTGTGACAGAAAAACAGACACCTAAACTTATCGCCCAGTGAAGCAGAAAATTGATTCTTTTAAGGTGACGTATGGGCCTTTGTGTGTCTGCGTGTGTGTGTGTGTGTGTGTGTGTTTACTGTATGTGTGTATATTTTCTGTTGTGTACTATACATGTACAAAAACTGGGCGGATAGTTGTTTTTGGATATTTTAAGTAGGAGGGTTCTGTAGGAGGATTATGCATGCATTCGTGTGGTGCATTGCACGTGTGTGTGTGTGTGTGTGTGTGTGTGTGTGTGTGTGTGTGTGTGTGTGTATTTGTTGTGGGTTTACTGCCCTTTTCATCCAGAAAAGAACAGTGTTAATCAAAGTCCTATCATTTGAATTCATTAGATTTTTGCATTTTTTTGTTGTTGTTATATTCTCTTTAGAAATAAGATGTGGGTGGGTGGAAGGAGGATTTAATGCGCGCGCACACACACACACACACACACACACACACACACACACACACACACACACACACACACACACACACACACACACACACACACACACACACACACACACACACACACACACACACACACCTCAGGTGTAGCAGTGAGTGGGAACCTTAGTGTTCTCTCTTGCATTAACTGTTAAAATTACTTACAGACATCTTGAAAAGAAATACAAGAACACAATTCTTGCTTTCAACGACCTAATTTTTTCTCTACAGTGAATTTGTTAAAATGTGAAATTTCTCAGAATTTCTTAATTTTTTTTGGACTGTGCTCTGTTAAATTATCTTAATTAAACCAAATCAGTGACGAACACTGACGCTGCCCTCTAATGTCTTTTCTTTCTGAGCCTTTTTTTGTGTTCAACTCTAATGAAAAACACTTTAACAATGCAGACAAAAGTTAAAGTTATATATGTTGAATAAAAGTTGTCGCCTCTTGTTGTCAATCATGTCAGCTACACACCTTATTGTGAATAACCCTTATCTTTCATCAAATCAAAACTGATGAGTCATCAAAACATTTACCCCCCGTACAGTGTGAGCCAATCGAGACATGAGATAATCAGACCTATTTGTTTTTTTGAACCAGGCTGTAAACATGTTAATCTCTGCTGTAAAAACAGGCTTCTTATAATGGGTGTGTATGTGCCTTCCTGTGCTTCTGCAGTCAGCCTCTAGTGGACACTCGAGGAACTGCAGGCTTTTTCACTTCCTCATCAGCTTCACTTTTCAACAATGGACGTTGCCGCTTGGTAAAAAAATAGACACCAAAGATTGGAACATCAGGGCAAAACTGATGCCAGCGCTGAAGCCCCAAGTGTCCACTAGAGGCTGTCACCAAAAGTGAGTCAGCCCCTATAGAGCCCCATGTTAAAAATGTCCAACTTTACAGCCTTGTACAAAAAAAAACTATTTTGTTAAATCTAATTTTGTTATTCATGACAACTCGTACGGGCTGAAATTTAAAAAACTCATATGTTTGATTGATATTAAGGATTACACAATAGCATAAATGGGGGCGTGGCCTCCTGGAGTGACAGGTGGGAAGCTGCAAGCTTTCTGCTAGGTGTCACCTCAGCTAATTACATCTTTAAACGTGACCTATTACGGGCACTTCTGGCTTCAAAGAAAAAATGTCCACTTGTATTTACAGTCTTGTCAAACTGAATATAAAGTTATTTTTATTATAAGATTAGAAAAAGCTCGTTGTTAAGTGCAGTCAAGCAGCATTTCAGGTCATGTTGTGTTACATTAAAGGTTAATATATACAGTCGTTAACCTGACCAACTGGCCGCTCTTAACGCAATGCAGGATATTCACTTTAATGACCGAGCTGTAATCCCAGCAGGGACTGACATGTTGACAGCGTGTTAGTGAGGTTAATGGACGTCAGCCACGGAGGTCACAACACACACAGGCGGGGGCCAGAAGACACCATATGGGGCGTGGAGGTGGACACACACTCACACCAACATATACACACACCTGAACTGCTCACTGTCCTAACTGTGCACTCAGGAATCTATTTATATCCATGAAAACAAACACTCTTTGAAAGATGGAGAATGAGTTTGTGTTGTTTATGTAGCCTCTCAGGTGTGTGTCGTTCTCCATTAGCAGTTAGCGACAGGTAGCAGCTAGCAGCAGCTCTAATAAACCTTCCCTCACACACACACACACACACACACACACACACACACACACACACACACACACACAAACCAGAGAGAATAAATCACATTTGCTCTCCCCCGAAACGTATCAGCAGCTATAAACCAAAACGTCAGGCAGCAAATGAAAATATAACGTACGGCATCACCGAGGGACAATTTTCATCGCCCATGCAGAGTTGCTAATAGAATATATTCTTCTGAGGACGAGAACCAGAGAAGGGGACTCTTTCTTGTGTCTTTTTTTTAAAGAGTCATTCTCAGCAGCACGGACAAAACAAATGAAGGAAGAATGAAGAAAAGAAGGAAAAGCCGACGGGGGGGGGGGGGTTGGGATGAATTTATGAACGTGAGGCAGGGAATGAGGAAACTGGAAGGAAAATGATCCCATGGTAGAGCGAGCAGCCATGACGAAGAATGATTGTAAAAATGTCTGTTTGTGATAAAGGGCGCTCTAAACAAACAGTCAGCGCAAGAAGAGAGAAATACGAAGTGTAAGGAAATCAAAGGCTTATGTTATGAGAGAGAAAAGGGGGGGGGGGGGGAGGAGGAGCAAAACAATGGAGAGTGGGTGCAATCTAGTGTTGTAGTACCCAAAATCGGTCTTGGTCTCGAGACCACTTTTTGAAGGTCTTGGCCCCTGGACACGTCCACAACCCTCTCCGGTGTAGTGGTCTAAGTGAGTGACACGCCCACTGCACACAAGATGCTCCGGACTTGGACTCGATTCCTAAATGTCTGGCCCTGCCTTGGTCTTGGTCTTGACTCGGTCTCGACCCATAAATGTCTTGGTCTTGTCTCGGTCTTGAAGCCCTGCAATGGTCTTGGTTTTGGTCTTGACTTGGTCTTGATCCCTAAATCTCTTGGTCATGTCTCGGTCTTGAAGCCCTCTGGTCTCAGGTGTGTCTTGGTCCCGGACAGTTAGTGTGATCTTGACTTCAACAACACTCTTCAAATCAATCAATCTCTTCAAAATGTGCTCCCAAGTGACGCCTCGCATGAAGATCTTGTTTGAGTTGCAAAAACGTAACTCATCAAACTCAAATATCTGCACGGACACCTCTAGAATTGACTATGAAGGAAATCTTGTTCATGAAAATTCCCTTCTTCCCTGCTTCTTTCCCAACACACTTTTAGAAGTCCAGGTGGTTTCATATTTCCACTGTTGACTCTAATGTCGGTATTTAAACACATTTGATTTATTGAAACTTTTCAGTATGTCTCGTAACTTCGCTCGGGGTCATGCGGGGGCAGCTGCAGCATCCCATCCTGCACTTAGTGACACAAAAGAATTCACCCTAACACATGGCTCAAGTCAAGCACCGGTCTCTGCGATAAAGCCATGTGTTTATTAGAAAAGAAAAATCCTCCGCTCTGCCGTGTTTTTTACTAGAGGTTACAGCCATGCATTCTGGGTTCACACAAACGTTTCATTACTCCAATCATCTGGCTTCAGCAGCCGCGGACCTTTTGACCTTTTCACTAATAGCTGCTTGTAATGTTGTCGACCTAAAGATTGACGCCTATTAGCTGTTGTTCCCGTTATAAGAAGCCTGTGTGTGTGTGTGTGTGTGTGTGTGTGTATGTGTGTGTGTATTCACCTCATATTCCTCCTTGAAGCCGTAGCCCTGTCCACATTTCATCTGCGTGATGTGTTGGAGGAGGTCAGCGACTCGAATAGCCGGCTGAAACTGACCGGCCTGGAACTGACCTGCAGGAAATAAAGACATTTACACAAATGGAGACGGTGTATAAGATGGAAAATAAAGTGTAAAAATCCGTTATTCTCAAATAAATAAAATGCACCAAATAAAAACATTTTGTGTGTTTCCGTGTTGCGCGTTCTCGCTGGTCAGTACTCTCGTCTATCTGAGGGCAGTCAAACTTCATTTTTCTGTCCTAAAAAGGTTTGAACCGCAATGCATGATGGGATATATTGCTTGGAAAAGGACCATTGGTTGTACACTACTTTTGTATCTGTTTTCCCCAAGGCATGTCCAGATTGCTGGGCTTTGTTATTTTTTTTAGTTTGGGCTGGAGACCACTTGTAGTCCTATTTCTGGTCTTTTTTTCTCCTTTTTGTTAGTTCTGTTTTCTTATGTAGTTGTTAGGGGGGATGGGCCGGAAGCGACGGCCTATTGCGAGGTTGGCTAGGCACCTTCCCATTCTTTGGTCACTTTGGCTGGGGTTACCAGCCGCTTTTGTTTCCTTGTGTTTCTTATTTTTTTATTGATTGTTAATTGACCTGTAACAACATGCTTGCTAACTAACAAACCGCAAAAACAACTGAATAACTCACTGGCTATTTACCTACCGACCCGTCAACCGACTTACTTACCTGCCTACCTGCCTTGCTAGCCAATGAGTAAGCTAACAAAATGGGGACAAACTGGCAGTTCCTTTGTTGCTGACTGACTAACTTGATTTATTTACTGGCCATTTAACAGACTCACTGACAACCATATTCACCTACCTTCTATGAACCAGATGACTGGCTACCTAACAGACGGACTATCTCACCACTAAGTCACTAACGAGGTTGTGTGCACATACCACTCTGATAGGAGAGCTCCACAGACTCACAGCCTCCATAAGGAAAACTCTGCAGCGTCAGGGAGGGCTGGGCCAGAGACGGCTGGCTGCTGTCTGTGAATACAGGGAGAGAGAGAGACCAAAAAGAGAGAGAAAGAGAGAGAGAGAGAGGCGGTTAAAAACGAGTCACACTTATCATATATAGTCAACATGCATACACTGTTAATTGTAATGATGCTCCAGGTGAGGATAGACTGATCGCTTCACAATGACAAGCCACGATTTAAACGAGTCGCCAACCAGCCTGAGCCCTGATTGGTGGGCTTGACGTCAGGTTCTTTAATTAGAATATCTTTCCTCTAATTAAGGAATGGACAGATTGATTGGATGTGAGTGTGAGCTCTATTAGTCAGGACAGATGGAGGGAAAGATGGAGGTTTCAGGGGGGACGGAGGGACTCATGATTGAATGTCACATTTCAAGAGCAGCGCCAGAGAACTGAACAATTAGAAACAGTTTTAACTCAACTTTGGATTGACTGTCGATTGGAGGACAGGGTTGTAACAATGGCAGACGTCAAAAAAGTCATCTTGTCTTAATGTTGTGGTTCAGCTTTTGAACTTTGACCTTTAAAGTAGACAAATCCAGATGCAATGTGCTTGAAACCCGGGTTTTTACAGGCAATATGGCTGCTGACAACCTGCGAGAAGAGCAGGCTAAGAAAGAGTGTTCACATGTGAGTCTCAGAAGGAAAAAGCGGTCTGTAATATAAAACCGCATGACTCTATTTCGTTCTTAATAGAGCTATTTGCATGTTAATGGTGCCTGTGGATTCATTAGTGGCCTAAAGTGGCTTCTCCATAAGCCAATCTAAACAGTGGCTTCACTAAACGAATGAAGAATGAGCGGGCCACATGGGTCACTCTGCAGCGCCGGCTCAGGTGGGAGTGAGTGTGTGTTGTGTGGGAGTATGTGTGGTCAAGACAAAAGGTGATGAAAAAGATGCCGGGTAGATCTAATTGGCTTACGTTGAGTGATTAAAATAGTCGACAAGTCCTGTTGTGTGAGGGGAGGGAAGAGGAGAAGTGAGATGAAAAGAGATGTGTTGATTAAATGTTGAAAGTAAGTTTGGATACGACCTTTAGCAAACACAGTAACAAAGTGCGTCAAAGCACAGGATGAGTGTGTATACCAAGATTTATGTCTTTAGAGGACAACTTGACACAACTGAACAGTTTCAGGACTGGAAAAGCTCAATGAATTGATGAGTAGAGGTCATGTATTGGTCAATGAAGTTGTAATCAAATATACATTTAGATTTCACAGAAATGGGCCAGATAGACGAACTATGACGATGATGCAACAGTTGTTGGGTTCATGAGAGAAATGAAATTATTTTGAGGGTGGAGGTGGAGTAGATTAAGAGATTCTTTAAGAGCAGCTTAACAATCATGAAGGGAGGAGAGTTGAGGGTTATTGGGGTTTTGCAGAGAAATAAACCTGTGTGTCATCAGCATAACAGCGATACGACAGCAACTGAAGAAAAGACCCAGAGGACACGTTGTTCAGGGAGGAGGGGATAGAGACAACAACAGAAGTGAAGAGAGAGAGAAAAGAAGAAAACAAATCCACTGCAAGGAGGAGGAATCTAAAGGAGCGATGGGAGAAGTTCAGAAACAGACGCATTGAGGAGGAAAAACATTGGAGAATAGATGTCAGGGGAGAAAGGAGGAGAGTTTAGACGAGAGGTTGGACAGGAGACAGATGAGGCCCCAGACGAGGTGAAGGAGAGACAGGAGTAAAAAGCTGAGGTGAGGAGAGGGCAGGACAAACACAAACTATCTGCTCACTGAAACAGAACCGGGTCGTCCTTTACTTTCCTCCTTCACACTGTGTCTCCAAAACAGTTAAGCCGAGAAATCAATCCTTTCACTTCAATCTGTGCGAACTTTTCATTGCCAGCTTTTCTCTGTTGTCCTTTGCTCGGTTGCAACCTTTTTCTACTACTGCAAATTTGCTTTGTTATAAGTGTTTCAGAAGGAAGATAATTGCTGCCTGGATTCACTCCAGTGAAGGGAAATACAACTTAAACCGTATACTGTAAAGATGAGCTCAGGATGAATGGTTGAGCCGACATTAACAACATAAAGTGGTCCATATCTTGTAGAGATTGTTTGTAAGTGAGCTTGGGATTCATTTAAATATCAGTTTCTCTATTTTCTGGGTTGAGGCCAAATGCGAGGTGAATATGAGCCTCAAGCTCGACCTTGGTATCCTTTCCTTTTTACTAGCTGGAAACATTACTGCCAGTAAGATATGTTAATTAGCCAAATCCTGTTGTTTTGTTTCTATGTCATCATCTGCATGCTCGAGAAGACAACTGGTGGAACTCACCAGATTGCTAGCTACGTTGGTATGAACCTAAAACTCACTTTGCTGCAGTTTTATTGCAAGAAACCGGTCAATAGGATGCTGCAGGAACTACAAGCAGATTCGCACAAATCAACAAAGAATGCTTGGCCAATTTATACTTTGTCTGCCTACAGGGGAGAAAAGCTAACAAAAAATCTCATTTTACATGCAGAGTTTTGAGAGTTCAGCTGGGATTTGTGTCTATTTGTAGCTTTGCATTGACTTTTATTTCATTTGCGCACAATATATATATATATATACAGATAATAAGCAAACATGGAACACATAGAGGGCTCATGTGACTGACTCATAAGATGCACATCAAACACAAACACACTTCCTTTGTCTTTGAGAATTGGTAAAAATTCCCAGGACTCCGACCAGCTGCTTACAAGGTCACGTGTGTGTTTGAATGCAAATGTGTATGTTCAGATGGCTGAGTGTGTGTGTGTGTGTGTGTGTGTGTGTGTGTGAGTGTGTGTGTGTGATTTTTGTGTGTGTAGGTATGTGTTCCTGCACGACAAGTGTGTGCACCCGCATATCTGCCTTCTGATATGAGAGGTTCTGTGTATAGAGTTCAGTGTCTCTGTCTCTTTGCATGTGTGTGTCTTTGTGAGTGTGTGTGTGTGTGTGTGTGTATGTGTATGTGTGTGTGTTACACCAAGGTCAAATATGCATTAAGCCAGGCATGAAATGGAGTCATAGCGGCAGCTCCACAACACTGACTATGATGAAGACATCTCAATGCTAATGGGGAGATTTATTGACCCTACAGTCACAAGGGTGTGTGTGTGTGTGTGTGTGTGTGTGTGTGTGTGTGTGTGTGTGTGTGTGTGTGTGTGTGTGTGTGTGTGTGTGTTATCGAGGTGTATGGAGAGCGCTGACTGTGTGCTACCAGTGTGTGTTTGACAGTGTAAGAGAGATGCATTGATTAAGAGAGAGATAGGGAAGTGAGCGTTGGGATTTTGTGTGTGTGTATATGTGTGAGTGTGTGTGTGAGTGTGTGTGTGTGTGTGCGAAGGCCACTTACACTGTCAGTGTGTGTGTGTGTGTATGATAATGCAGTCCTTCATGCTTGGGAGTGTGCTATATAAAGTTCCCTCCTCCCACACTGTGACTTTATTAAGACTCTGTTATGGATGACTTGAGTGTCTCTGAGTTAACTCCTCACTGTCTGTCCACCCGGACTCAAATACTAAACCAATTAACAGAAATTTAAGAATAAAACCTTCTCTTTACACTGTGTAGCTTAAAACTCTGGTGTGGTATCTTTAAATGATTGATGGAATAAGAGAAGTCTGTATCTGAACCTGTATCGGCTACATTAACACACTCTGGACTTCAGTATCGACAGTTTAGTCTGCACACGTGTGTCATTTTATACTTTAAAGGTGGAGTCAGCAGCATTTTGTGTTGCAGTTTGCAAACACAACCTTCAAACCAGACCCCTCCTCCTGGGCTCATCACCCCTCAGAAGCTCTGCCCCTTGCAGAACGTAGCGTGTACGTTTACTGCTTGTACCTACACTGCAAGCTAATACACGCTAGCACAAGCTAACCACCGCTGTTTGTCACCTGCCTGTCCAACAGGAAGCAGACCAACTTTACCTCCACCTGTAAAAGCCAACACAAGGTTCCCCTAGTATTTTGAAAACGCTGTAGGATATAATCAGGAGACTTCACCTCGAGCCAATAGGAGGGGGAGTGACATTTCTATACTGTGACTGCTGCACAAATTATCTAGAAACGTCAGAAAACGTCTTTTTGTCTAATTTGCATAGATTTAAAAAGCACAAAAGCTCAGGTGGAGACAGAGCCAAATCAAACAAGCTACGACACATGGCTTACTGATTCACCTTTGCGCTTTGTAAGCAGGGACATTTCAAGAAGTCTTCCTGTACAAAACAGGCTGATCTTGTACTTAGATCAGTTCATCTCTGACTGTAAGGGAAAGCCATCCACCAGTTAGAAAGAGAGTACTTTCCATTACATACTTACGTAGAAGAAGCAGTTTGATTTAGTGCCAACCTTGAAAACCCTGAACAAGCAAATGAAATACAATTACAGTAAAGAGATGACTCCTGTCTTCATTTACATACCGAGCGTTGCTTCATTACAGTATGCATCATCCGTTAACACTCGGGGTAATTACTGAGAGGAGTCACACAATCGTAGAAACTCTGATTGAAATTCTGCTTCAATTAAAAACATAACTACGGTTATGTAACGCCGTTAAAAGCCATAAAAATCCAATTTGTCATTTGTTTGACCTAATCATCCAGACATCCACTGCACGCCATCACTTTATGGAGTACATGGAATATGTTTAAATATCAAGTGTTTCAAAGCTCAAAGCGTTTTATCACTACCACAGGTCATGTTTCAGCAAAGTAATCAGGATGATGCACTTAGATCACTCTCAAGGAAAGAATGAATAACCGCAACAAACATCATCCAACGAGATGAAACTATCAGGTCGGATAGACGGACGTCTGCAAATCTACTCAGTGTCTGAAAATGAGTTCATAGTTCTCAACGTGGACGGTTTAGAGCTGGACGCTGTCATGCTGCTGAAGGACACAAATATAAGCAGGAGATCTATTCTCCTCACTTTGACCATTAATGATGAAGCCTGGGACACCTGTTGAGAAGTGTTGAGAGATGTGCAGCTCAAAAACCTCTTTTATTTATCTGATTGTGGCG